ACTTCTTTTTTTTCTATTTATTTTTATTAGTTGGATGCTAATTACTTTACATCATTGCAGTGGTTTTTGTCATACATTGAAATGAATTAACCATGGATTTACATGTATTCCCCATCCCGGTCCCCCCTCCCACCTCCCCCTCCACCCGATCCCTCTTTCTGTTAGCAGAAATATTATTTACAGATATTGATTTAATTTATACTAGATGGTGTGAGGTAGGGTCCAGCTTCATTCTTTTGAATGTGGATATCCAGTTGTCCTGGCATCATTTGTTGTATGGCCTGTTCTTTTCCCCACTGAATTATCTTGGTTTCCTTGTTGAAAATCAGTTGTCCACAAATTAGGACTAATTTCTGGATTGCCCCCAGGGTGCTCAAGAACCTGCTGCACATCCTAAGTCCACATGTCACTGAAGGCCACCACAATTTACTCAGTCATCCAGACCAGACTTGTTGGCATCAAGCTTTGTCAAGGCTTAACCACTGACTTGCAGTCACTCACCAATACCTAGTTGTACCTAGAAATAGCAAGTGTCCATCCCTTCTTCCACAGTGCCTTTCCTTTTTAACCGTGTTTCTTATGATTTGGGTTTGTTTTGTTTGTTTGTGGCCCTCACATTGCTCTCTTAGCTCCAGTCATAGCCACCTTGTAGTTTATTTTGTACTGCTGAATAATATTCCAATGTATGGATGTAACCCATCCAATCCAGTGTCACCCCACCCAGCCACAGGGATCAATTCAATCGCCTCTTTCTGATTTCCATGCTTAAAAAGAAAACCCTCTCATGTTTCAGAAGTTTTTTCTCGTTAAGAACTTCAATGTATTACCTAGTATGCAAAATCTTTAACTCTGCATCTGAGTCCCAGTGTGAGGCGGCCTTTCTTTCCCTCCCCTGTGATTTCCCTCTCACATTCCATGCTCTACCCTATCCTCTAGGTTCCAGCAGCTCTGAGCACCCTACAGTTACCCCTACCTTCAAGGCTGCCTATACACCTGTACAGTCCTTGTCCCTTTGCCTGTAACAGTCTCCATCCTTTCCTGGTCTTCCTTCACTTCTCAACTTAGACAATGCTTCTTTCATAGAACTTACTATACTTTGCCATAGTGAGCTGTTGTCCTATTTCCCCACTTGACTTTGTGTTCCTGAAAAGTAGAGACCATGTTTGGTTCTCATATATATTCACATTTCCTGGCACATTGTAGGCAATCATTATTTGATGAATAATTGAATGAATGAATGGAATTTAATTTAAAGTACTTAGGGTAGCAATTTAATTAATAATGTTGACACTTTAAAATGCAACTTCAACATCTTTTATCAACTATGATTAAGTTAAAGCCCTTAGTTCCTTTTTTTTTCATTTATTTATATTAGTTGGAGGCTGATTACTTTACAGTATTATAGTGGTTATTGCCATACATTGATATGAATCAGCCATGGATTTACATGTGTCCCCATCCTGAACCCCCCTCCCACTTCCCTCCCCATCCCATCCCTCTGGGTCATCCTAGTGCACCAGCGCTGAGCACTTGTCTCATGCATCAAACCTGTAAAGCCCTTAGTTCCTATAGGCATAGGTGAACACTTCCCCTCCCTACCCCTAACCTCAAGAAAACAGTACCTGGTCTTCAGGTTTCTTTTTTTTTTAATCAAATTTTTTAATCTTCTTAAATCCATTTATCCACCCCAGAATTGAGTCTTGCTGTCAATGTAATAATGTTTGCAAAATCCAATAATGCTTTCTGGAAATATTAGTCACTGTAATGTTGAAACCTCACTGAAATTCTCTACCCAGATAATGTGTCTAAAGTACTAACACTTAAGTTTTCTGAAAGGAGTAGAATAATACATTAATTAGTTAAAAATCAACGGTCCTAAAATTTTGAAATAGTTCATTCAACCAACATTTGAGCACATATTGTGTACCTAGCACTATGCTAAACATTAATAATATAGAAAGCTTTTTTGAAAAAAATTAATTCCCTTGGTAATTTCATAGCATGTTTTGGGTCAGGGATTGGAACTTATAACCGATTTATAATGTAATAAAGCAGCTGTTAGTAGAGTTTTTGCACAGGCTACTGTAGGTACACAGCTAGAAATAAAATTGATCTTCCTAAAAATAACTTCACAATGAAAAGAATACTTAAGTCCTAAAATGCAAGCCAACATTTAAAGTTAGAGGCAAGAAAGACATCTCATATAGGAGGAGCAGCATGTACAAAGGCCCAGGGGTAGGGATGAACATAAGAGTTTTCAGGGGTGGCAGATAGGTGAGCTAAAGACAAATTCAGGAGTTTCTGTGACACAAAAGAAAGTAACCAGCCCAAACCATCCTTTGAGATTCTCCCATCAAAACAAGTCCCTGAGGTATTTAATTCCTGCAAGATGCAAGTCCTTATCCACTGAGAGAGTCTCAGATAATTCCTTTAAGGAAGAGTCACCATTTATGACAAAATTAAAGGCTTTCTTTAGGTGCTGTGTGGTCCTTGCAGGAATTTGTTGGAGGTCTTCTCTGCTCCATATTGCATGTATCCTGATAATGAGCAAAGAGTTATTTCTTTACTGGGACTCTTGGCCTTTGGTCCATTATAAGTCACAAGTACAAACCATGAGCACAGACCTCTGAGCATCTTCCCCTCATTCACCCTTCCATGTCGCTGCCAACATTCTTCTGTTCCTCAGTTTAGGAAATGAGCATTGGCCTAGAACTATGCAAGTCTCAAATCTTTTGGTCTCAGGGCCACATTACATTATTAAAAATTACTTAGGACCCCAAAGATCCTTTATTCATGTCAATATATCTCTTAATATCTATATTTAACCTATTAGAATTTAAAATTGAGGGAAGTTTTAAATATTCATGAATTATTATAAGATAAAAACAAAAAACTGCATGTCAACAGAAATCAATATTAACAAAAAAGTAATTTTGAAAAATAATTATATTTTCCAAAATAAATAATTGTATGAGAAAAGTGGCATTATTTTCTATTTTTTCAAATCCCTAATTCTAGCTTAATAGAAGACATCTAGATTCTCATGTCTGCTTCTGAATTCAATCTGTGATTATAACCACAGGGCACGTAGAAAACTTGGGAGAGGATAGGAGTGAGAAAGATAAACAACTTATTGATATTATTAAGAAAGTTGTTTTAGCATCACAGACCTTCTAAGAAAATTTCAGGGATTCCTAGCAGTCCCTGAACCACACTGAGATCTTCTGACTTAGAAATTTTAAAATACAGTTGACCCTTGAATATCAATGGGAGGAGTGACTAGGAGCACCAACCCCTGTGTGATTAAAATTCCCGTGTAATTTAGTCAGCCATCCTTCGTGTGCTTTCTCTGCATCTGATGCTTTAACCAACCCCAGATTATGTGAAACTGTTGTATTTAGTATTGAATTCAAACCTGTGTTGTTCAAGAGTCAACTCTACTATAAAGATGAGAGTTGAAGGTTTATAAAAGTTAGCAGATAGAATGTTAAAGCAAAAGCCAGCATATGGATAATTACTTCAAGCAAATATGACCACTGTTTTGATGGGATGGTGAGTTTAAAAAAATGTGACTTATGTGTTCCACGTATTTACCATTAAAATCCATTTCAATCAGTTTTTAAACATTCAAAATCTTCCTCCTCAAAGGAAAACAAACTCTAATTTTATCTTTCCCACCCCTCACTTTAATCAGAAGATAGAATGCCAAAGAGCTAGAAAGTGAACCACCAATTAAACAACTTCAAAGAAAGACACCTGGGGTTTCATGCTTTGTAGCTCTGCGACCTTAAGCAGGTCACAACTTTTCTACGCTCAGTTTCTGGACCCATAAAAGGGCCTACCTCCCTCACATGACCATCTGGATTATTTGAGATGCGGAATGTTAATGTTGGCTTCCAAACTCTCAAGCCCTCTACACATGTTATTGATTATAATTATGTTATGGTCACTATAATACTGCTCACGGGACACATAAACCTCCACATCTCTTTACGTGGGGAGATTGCCCTCTATGTTTTCCTCATTTGTGTGTCCCAAAGCCCTTCTCCAGTTAAGTTCTTGCAAGCTGCCCATGGGAAGGCCCCCGATGAGCTGTGTAATCTAAGCTCTGAGATTCCCAGGGCCAAACATCAGCTGTCAGGTTACCCCTACATGCAAACCTCCAAAGGAAGAGAGATACTGCCAAGACCAAGTTCAGGGAGAAGTACAAACAGCCTTCAGCTTCCCTCTTCCTCTGCCTTCCAAGGAAATGCTCTCACAATGTTCAGGCAAGAAGAGTTAAAGAGAATATAAATGAAGATGGTCTGGCTGCAGCTGAAGCAGCTCCCACTGCCATATCAAAAGTAAAGGCACAGCCTTCAGTGAGCATGACTGATGGTGAAGTACACTTGCCTTGGCACAGGTTTCCAACATACTTCAGAAGTCATAGAATGCTGTTTGGACAAAGATCAGGAGTGAATTATACATCTAATGTAACCATGACCTAGAAAAGACCGAAAGGGTAGGAAATTTCAGTGGAAAGTCGCTGAAAGAAAAAAGCAAACCAGAAGTAACTTGGCTAAATTGGGTAACATAAGTATAAGATTAAACATCGGCATGTTTAGAAATTCCCAGTCCCAAGTTAATAAAACTGGGGTCATGAGAATTCTCCTTACTTTACCATCTGCGTTTATCAACCCACTCAGCCTCCTCTCAGCACTAGAAAAACATTGCTCAGAGGAGGAAAAATAATTCTTTAGCAGTAAACATTTGAATTTCACCTCAAGTAAGACTACATTTCAAAATCTGAAAAGACAGCTCAACCCAGATTTATTCTAAGACATTTTGATTTAAGTCACTTTGGACAAATAATATTGTCTCCCTTTCCTTGTGTATGTAAAACAAAGCTCTTTGCATCCTACTCAGATAATGACTAAAATGTTAATAAGTCATAATTTTAATTAAAAAAGATATCTTTAGTGTAGTTTTACAATAATTATCTATTCTTTTTCTTTTTCTAGCTTTGAAGGCGTCACCTTCTAAGAAACGGTGCAACTCCATCGCCGCCCTGAAGGCAACCTCACAGGAGATTGTGTCCTCAATTAGCCAGGAATGGAAGGATGAGAAGCATGATTTGCTTACTGAAGGGCAGAGTTTTAGCAGCCTTGATGAAGAAGGTAAAGACACAGAACTTAAACCACAAGAATTTTTTCTTTCTTTTCTTCTTTTTTTTATTCATACAAGTAATGTAAACTCACAGCAGAAAAATTAGATGATAGTTTCTCTAAGAAGCAAAGTCTCTTAACTGATTTTTCTTTTTTTTTACATCAGACAGATAATGTGCCGGTGTCACAAGGTTTGCAGGGAGGCACATGTCACGCAGCAGCATGAACACCCAATCATCATGCTCATCAACTACAAAAGGGTCTTCTGAACTGATTTTTTTAAAGATATTTACAGTATGACACAGTTAATGTAAAATTTTTGAAACACATAAACAATCTGGTATTGGTTTATGGTTAAAAAAAAAATTAGAACATACTAAAATATTCAGAAACAAAGATCTATAATCCCACTACCTGAAGGTACCAAATCTGAAGGTTTTGGTATTTTCACTAGTAGACCTTGGTCTGTGCTTATATATATATATATATATATATATATATATACACATATATACACATTTTTCCCCCCAAACACACATAGACATTATATACATATGTGAGGCAGGAAGAAAAGGGGACAACAGAGGATCAGATGATTGGATGGTATCACGGACTCTATGGACAAGAGTTTGAGCAAGCTTCAGGAGTTGATGATGGACAGGGAAGCCTACCGTGCTGCAGTCCATGGGGTCGCAAAGAGTCAGACACAACTGAGTGACTGAACTGACCAACAGCATAGCAGTGAACTACCAATTTATTTTGGTCCTTTTTAATGAGTTTAATAGAAGCTTTCTAATTTTCTCCTGGCATGTCATGTTCCTACCTTATGTTAGATTTATTTCTCAAATGGTTGTAGAGATAAAGATAGAATACGTGTTTTCTGTCTTTTCAGATGGTGTATCTTTAAGGTTTGGTTTTTCTGGCTATTTGTTGCTGCTGCGTAGACCTCAAATCTTTCTTACTTGCTGACTAGGGCTTCTGGTACAATGATGAACAGAAGTCGTGCTTGTGGGCAGTCTTGCCTCATCCTGATTTTAAAGGGAATTCTTCTAATGTTTAACTTCTGAGAAAGTAGTGTGATGTATCAGATACCCATAATCAAGTCAAGGAAGTTCCTTTTTATTCCTAGTTTCTAAAATTTTTATCAAGAATGAGTGTTGCATTTTGTCAAATATTTTTCTCTATTGAGTTAATCATTTGGATTTTCTCTTCTAATCCTGTAAGAGGAAGTAACATTTTAGATTTTATTATCAGTTTATTCTTTTGGGAATCCCTGCATTTCCTGAAAATTTCTTCTACTTCCTAAAGAATATTAGATCTCGCCTTGGAATTTTCTTTTCCTCAGAGTCTTTAAAATAGTGTGTTCATCCTTGGCCGTTTTGCAGCACTTATCCATATGTGCCAAGTTGGATTTCTTTTTTTCTCATCTTATAAACCAACTTTTACCCAGATTTAGTGATTTCAGCAAGAGTTTACTGAATTGCCCTCTCCTCACTCTGAGTTAATGGCTCCAGTTTCTAACATCCATCCTCTTGCCCTAGCTTCCCTGCGTTGGTATCTCCCTACCACACTGCCTAAGTCTCTAGAATTAACTCATCTTTAAACTGTGACAAACTTTCAGATAGTGTGCTCAATACAGCTTCTGTCAGCTATACTTATATAAACATGTATTTATTGCTTCTAAAGTGTAAGCTGTGAGTCCAGTTGTTAATCTGAGGGAATAAGTATAATAAATACACTACATAGCATCTAGAAAGTCTGGAAACATAGGAAGCAGTGCACAAATCATGCATTTTTTCAAAAGAACTATTGGACCTATTGCTTTAAATCGAAAGGCACTTCACCAGAAAAGGTCTCTGAAGGTTGAAAAAGAACCTGTTGAGCATATTCTTTGAAACTGTTGACATATTATTTTTAAATGAATTTATTTGGACAATTCTCTGCATCTACAAAGTTTGCTGCAAGATTCAGTCATTTTATAATGCTCTGCACTTGAGGACTTCCCTTTCAGGGTGCACCAAGTCATCACCAAACGCCCCTCCAGTTTTTAATCATGTTTTCTGTCATTCTCAGTATGTCTGGGTTGTATTCATTTTCTTTTGCCATGTGACACATTACCAGAAGGTTGGCAGCTTATCATTACCTCTATTTATTATCTCCCAGTTCTGTAAGTCAGAAGACTAGCAAGGTTTACCTGATCCTCTGGACACAACTTTCTATCAGGGTCACCTCAGAAATGGGTCATCAAGGTATCAGCTAGGCTGAGTTCTCATCTGGAGGTTCTGGAGAAGACCCCTTCTCCAAGCACTTCCTTTTGTTGGCAGAATTCACTTCCTCGAAGTTGTAGGGCTGAAGTACCCATGTCCTTGCTATCTGACAGGTGTGGGCCGGGCTCACCCCTAGAGACCATCCTCGTTCCTTGCCACGCAGCCCCCTCCATCTTCAGATGGAGAATTTCCTGCAAATCAGTGCCCCTCACACTTGGAATCTCTGCCATGACCGTGTCTGACCCTTTAGTATAGTTAAAGGGTTCACATGATTAGGCCAGGCCTACCTGGATAAAGGGGAGAGCCTTTGACTAACTCAGAGTTAACTGATTAGTAACCTTAATTAAATCTGCAAGATTCCTTTTGCCACATAAGATAAAATAATCACAAGAATAATATTGCATCATTCTCACAGCTTCTACCCACACTCAAAGGGAGAGTATATAAGGGTGCAGGTCACTAGGGAACATTCTAGAATTCTGCCCTCCACACTAGTTAGATTTTTTAAAAACTGAAGGATATGGGCACATAAGGAAACAGTTCTCTGGTTCATTGAGCCGCTCCTAGGAGTCAGCCACCTGGTGTTTGGGTGCTCTCTGACCCAGGCCCGAGTCACTGGACAGGTAGTGTTTTTCTATAATCTATCACTCAGGAAGCCTCTGGTTTATGAAGTCAAGCTGAGTATGCCCAGGACCCAAGTCTGTATTAGCTGTTCTCGGTGCAGCTCCATCCACCTTATATTTAATAGTGATTCATTGGAATCTGATGTGAGTTTGCGTTTCAGATACACTTTTCTATAATCTTGAGAGTTTTCATATTTTTCTGTGTATTTAATGAGAAGGTAGAATCAAGTGTGTTGAAGATTGCCAGCCAGTTGTCAACTGCTAGACTTGTTGGTTTTTAAATGTTGAGTACTTGTGTAATTTTATATGCTCATCATCTGTTAGTCATCATGGCAATTCTTTATTTTTATCTGACTCAGCGGCAAAACTGCACCATCTCCTACACTTTAATGTGTCTAGTCTCCTAGTCCAGAGTCCAGGCCTTCTGTGCCTGACCCCCTTTCCCTCCATTACTCACCCCACCTCTCCATCTACATCCCTCAAAATCCAAAGTCCAAAACCTCACACTCATGTAATTGTACCAATTAGGGTCAATTTCCATTCATACACTTCATGACAGTACATAATTCTGAGCCTATGGCACCTATAAAGGAATACCACAAACACCTTAAGGCTATATTGTATTTATTATCATCTGTTTTAGCTTACTTTGGGGAAAGGATTAAAAAGGATCCACAGTACAGCATAGTGACTCAAGTTAATAATAACTGTATTGCATATTTGAAAGTTGCTGAGAGAGATCTTAAAAATGCTCATCACCAGAAAAAAATTCTATAAGTGTGCGTGGTGATGGGATGTTAACTCAGCTTATTGTAATGATCATTTCACAATATATATTGGGTTACCCAAAAAGTTCACTCAGGTTTTTCATACCATCTTACAGAAAAAAACCCAAACAAACTTTTTGGCCAACCCAATAAACATATCAAATCACTATGTTATATACCTAAAACTGATCCAGTGTTATTCAATATGTATCAGCTAGTTCCATAAAATTAAAAAATAAAGTGTCTCCATGAGGGGAAATAAGGTCCAACTATGGAACGATAAAAACAAGATTTGTTCACAGTATCCTGTTTCTGGAAATTTATATGTCTCTTTTTAAAGGAACTCAGATCTTTGTGGTTGGTTCTTTAAGCAAAATACTATCTCTGACGGGCTGACCATTGGGAGAGGATGAGTTAAAATGATCCAGATTCAACTGTCCAAAAAAAAAAAAAAATCCACGTAGACTCAGAGTGAGCATAACCTTGGCTGTTCTACTTTTCTGATGGGGGATACTCTTGCATGAGTATTTCCATAGGTACCTACATTTTAAAGAAAAATGAGTTAAAAAAAACAGCAGTCTTCCTTGTTAAAATATAATATCAAGAAGAGCTGTGAATAATATTCATAGATGCATATGGGCTCAAACAGGGTTAAGGTCTAGCTGGCTGTTAGTCTCTGAAGCATTTGTTTCCTGGCTCTTAGCAAATCTGAGTTTTTAGATCTGCACTGAGAATCACAGATACCCTCACAAGGGGGGTCAGGTTCACTGTTTATACATTTGCCAGTCATCCTTTTAATCTCTGTCGAATTATCTCTTCAAGCTCCTAGGAGTTTTTTATGTCATCTTTTGAAACAGTAAATCACTTTATTAGGTTTGAAAAAGAACATTCATAATGTCATTTCCATTAGCCATTTTGTAAATTAGTCCAATTTCCTTTCTGTTTAAGCTGTTTGCAAGGAGCTATTTGCATTTCTGCTGCAGTTCAGAAGAGCACAATTAATTCACAATTTAATTTGCAGCCTGATGTGTAAAATGAATGCTTTTGACTCATTTAGATTATCATAGACACTGAAAGAACATTTATTAGTGCGATTCATGAGGGCTTGTTTTGCTTTTTGTTACCCAGCACTGGGATCCCGACATAGGCCAGATCTGGTGCCTAGTACTCCATCGCTGTTTGAAGCTGCTTCCTTGGCGACCACAATTTCATCTTCTTCCTTGTATGTCAATGAACATTATCCACATGACAGGACTACGCTTTATTCAAACAGGTAATACTTAGTACAATCAAATTACCAATCAGCTATTACCATGTTAATGTCACAGCTAGACCAGCATCTCTGAATGAGTCATCCAGTCATCCGTGACAACCAGGTTGTGACCATCACCTGCCCTGTAAGAAAAACAGAAAATCTGGACTTTTACTGTGGTAGGAGGAAAAACCCTCCTGATTTTTATTCATAGTTAATCATTATGTCCTGTAGAAAGTATATATACTTGATTCTATGGGAAAAAATGTGAATCTTTATCATTTTTGTTTTATCAGTCTTATGAATTTTTTTAAAGTGAGCACTCTTGGTTAATATTTTCACAAATAGCTACAAAGATATTTGAATATTTCCTTTTTGTATGAGTGATCTTAGTAGCCATGATAAACAGAATAACAGCCCTCCAAAATTGTCTATGTCCTAATCCCCCAGCACCTGTGATGCTCTTCCCTTATAGAGTGAAAGGGGCTTTGCCAATATGACTAAGTTAAAGATCTGGAAATGGGAAGAGTATCCTGAATTATCCAGATAGACCCAGCACAATCACAGGGTCCACGTAAGAGGAAATCAGGCAAGATTAGAGTCAGACAAGGAGGTGTGATGGCAGAAGCAGAGATCAGAGAGAGAGAAAGATTTGAAGATGCTACACTGTTGGCTTTGAAGGTATACAAAGGGGCATGAGCCAAGGAATGCAGGCAGAGTCTAAATGCCAGAACAGACAAGGAAACAGTCTGCCCTAGAGCATCCACAGAGGAACACAGTTCTTCCAACCCTTTGAATTTTAGGACTCTGACTGCTAGAGCTATAAAATAATAAATCTGTCTTATTTTAAGCCATGAAGTTTATGACAGTTTGCCACAGAAGCAATAGGAACCTAATACAGTGACTCTCAAACATTTACTGTGAATCTGAATGTTGGGGTGGGTTACTGAAATTTCTTAGATAGAAAGTGAATTTTTGTTAGATATTTTTCTAATAAAAAATTAGATAAATAAAATGTTCTCAAACACTGGTTCTAGTAATAGAAAATATCTTTACAAAAAGATCACAACTTTGTGAGATTAGCTATTTTTTCTCTTTTTATATAGGCATTTCTGTAACTAACTTCAATTACAGGGTAGGGACTACTGTGTATACCTTCTCAATACTTATCTGTTAAATGTCGAACTGGTTCTTGTTAAAATTCAGCTCTCAAGAATCAAGATCAAATTTGTACAAGTGCTTTTTATACAGTAAGTCATTTCCCCCCTCCAACCTATCAACTTGGTTCACCTCCAGAAAGAGGACTCAATATGATAGATTCATTTTTAATGTGTGCATCCTTGTAAATCCTAGCTTGGTCTTCATCAGATTAAGATTTGGTAGTTGAAGCTTCTGTTCAGTTCAGTTGCTCAGTCATATCCGACTCTTTGCAACTCCATGAATCGCAGCATGCCAGGCCTCCCTGTCATCACCAACTCCCAGAGTTTACCCAAACTCATGCCCATCGAGTCAGTGATGCCATCCAGCCATCTCATCCTCTGTCGTCCCCTTCTCCTCCTGCCCCCAATCCCTCCCAGCATCAGGGTCTTTTCCAATGAGTCAACTCTTCACATGAGGTGGCCAAAGTACTGGAGTTTCAGCTTCAGCATCAGTCCTTCCAATGAATACCCAGGACTGATCTCCTTTAGGATGGACTGGTTGGGTCTCCTTGCAGTCTAAGGGACTCTCAAGAGTCTTCTCCAACACCACAGTTCAAAAGCATCAATTTTTCGGCGTTCAACTTTCTTCACAGTGAAGCTTCTGTAGAAATTCCTTTTTCTTGCTGCTCCCTTCTCTCTCAGCTAGATACAGGTTAGGTGGTAGCAGATGAGACAGTCTGAAAAAGAGGAAGAAAGGACAAGATGAATTTCAAATCTTGCCTGGACTTCCATTTGGATCACTCTACTCAAGGACCTATAACAAATAAGGCTCTGTTGTAACTTATTCAACTCATCTGAACTGTAAAAGTAATTTGGGTAGCTTCCTCAAATTAGAAAAATTTAAAGTAATTTATACCTAACATGAACATGTACCTTTAATGTTCAAATTTCTTATGTAAATTAGTCAAGCAGCAGTTTCTCCTGTTCATATGGCCCAGCTGTGAAGGCTGCTCTTTTGCTCTCAAATGTAAATAGCAGCTCAAAGATGACTGGAAAGTCACAGGAAGTTCTTTGAAAGGTCAAAATCAATTCTCATGTGAAGCTGTGGTGGTTTCTTAACCATTTGCTAGTGCCCTCATTGTCAGGGCAGATAGTTGGATGTGCTGTTAAATTACATACTAGAATTTTCAGCAAAAATACAAGGGTTTTATATGTTTGTTTTTGGTGGCAGTGGTTGTGGTCAGTCTCTTTACCAGAGGTATTCAACTCTTGGGTATTTATAAGATTCCTTGAGGATCTGAATCAGAGTTCCTACTAACTCCCAATCCTTTCTGCCCAGCTTGGGAGATACCTCGCCTGCTCCAGGGCTGTGGTATACAACTCTTGATACCTTTATTTATGCTGATACAGGTTATCATTTAGATGGGCAAAGCATCAGTGTTGTCTATGATGTTTTCCCCTTTCTCTCTCTTTTTTTAAGTGAATTGTTTGAAATTAGTCTTCTGTGGCATTGTATCTCCAAGTTGCAATTTGATACATTTAGCTATCCATCTGGGTTTAGTTGCAAGAACAAGACACCACTGGGTCTTAAGCAGAAAGGGATTTGATACAGAGAATTCACAAAGTCTCTTAAAACGCTTGGGTGTGCATTGCGCTGTGGGTGGGACATCAGAAAACCTACTCCAGGTACACATCCCCAAGCTGGCCCACCAGTAGCCTTGCAACCTTTGTCACAATCAAGTGGAGGTCCTGCCTGAGGGATGCAAGCCAGAGAAAAGCATGTTGTGAACCGAGAGTATTGTTTAAAGAAACCAACATTTTAAAATCATATCACTAAATCATCACTAAGTAATCATATCGTATTTCACTAAAATGCCCAAATTCTTGTGAAAAATCACTAGCTGTGGCACCACTTGGCTCCCTTGCCTCACGCTGGAGAGGAGAACATGGACACTCCGGTCAGCACCCTCTGCTGTGGTCATCTCTGCTCTGGCCTGCGTGCCCCTGTGGGCATTTCTGCTCTTCACCCATGATGCATAAGAAAAGTCAAAGACATGCCTCAGATCTTAATGACTGTCGTAGGGAAATCATAAGGAAAAGGTGCAAAAAAGACAGAGGTGCTAAAGAACCTTGAAGAGAAATAATGGTGATTCAACCCCCCAGGAATCAATATGCCTAGTTCCCCACCCACCATGCCCACCCCTAATTACTCAGCAGGGAAACCTTTCCAGCCAATTGAAACGAAGTTGTCATATTTTGTTCCTATCATTTTTTCCTTTGGAGTCCTACATGGTGTCTCTTGAGGCAATACGTAGACAATATTCTAAGTCTCTTCAGGCCCACTAAAGTTTAAAACCTAATCCAGACAGCCCGGAAAGAAGATTGATGTTTATAATTCATGTTAGGTTTTTCCCTTTCTTTATGAATCATTTTTATGTTAAGGCAGAGTGGTCAGTTTTCCCACTTCCACATTATACTATACATATCTGTACTTAAATATGAAATAGTAAATATTTCAACTAACAGTTGTCATTGTGTCCATCCTTTCAGAATCTTTTAAGTTTGAAAAGTGTCAGTTAGTGCCTGGATGTTTCTACTCCTAAATTATATACTGTAGTGGGCTGCTGCTATCTCTTAGAATTACTCCTTTTCTTTTTTTAAAAAGATTATTCTTTGTGACTTCAAAAATTCCAGTAGCAATTTATTCTTTTTTTTAAGTGTACTCCAAAAATTGACTAGGAGACAAAAAAATACTATCATTTTTAAAGCATATTACCGGGAGTATATATTTTCAAGTTCTACTCAACAGTCCTATGTTAGAGCATGCAATTCATAAGAATACAAAGAAACTGTTATAAGTTCTTGCTTCCCAGTCAAATGGTGGGATTTTAATTCTGAAGTTTTGATTCTTGAATTTTTCTTTCCTAATAAGAATTCTGTTTTTTGAAAGGAGATATAAATTGAGCACTAAGGAATACAGAGGCAAATGTGTTTTATCTCAAAGTTAAGAACAGTTTAGTGTTGTGGAAGTTGGTTGCACACATGAATTTTAATTCTTTTTGTGATTTCCTGCACAGTTGGTAGCAAACGTGAAGCTCTTATTATGTATAAGGATCGAAAGCCCTACTGCATTCCAATATGCTTATCCTTTCCCCACCAAAGATGTCTTTACCATCATCACCACTCCGTCTAGTCTCGTGTTTTGCTAGTGGCTATTTCTAATAGTTGGCTCAGACTGAAGACATTTGAAATATTGTGAGAAGGACGCGTAGGTCAGAGGAAAACCACTGGTCATTCGTCCATGGAGGGCCAGCTGGCAAAGGCTCCCTAAGTGAGGAGCCCAACATTTGAGACCTCAAAGGCTGACTCAGTGGCTCCAAGCACAGTTCTATGCTCTTCCTTCCTGCCAGTAGAGAATGAATGGTAAACCTCAGAGAGGGTGGAACAGTTGTCTCTATCTACAAGCTCCTCCCCACAAATTGCTTATCATTCAAATTTAAAGACACATAGGTAGAGCCACCCCAAAGAATGTTAGAGACCCATTATTTTACAGATGTTGTCTAAAAGATAAAGGAAGAGAAATGCAGAGACATGCATTATATGACATATCCAAAGTCACAGAGCCTGCTAACAGGATTTAAATTGGAACACAGGTCTCTGGGGTCCAAGCCTCATGGTCTTTCCACTGTGCCACCTTTCTCATCATGGTCTCTGAAGACCTCTGGTCTTATCCTTGATGTGTATGTTATGCACAGATGGTCAGTTGGGTTTTTTTTTCTTTTTCTTTTTTTTTTTAATTAATTTATTTTTTTCATTTATTTTTATTAGTTGGAGGCTAATTACTTTACATCATTGCAGTGGGTTTTGTCATACATTGAAATG